TCTCAAACTGATAATAAACCAGATTCCCAGATTACAGGGGAGTTGAATTATTTCTTTTAAAATACAAAGAAAAGGAAAACTAATAATAATATTTATCTCCCAGGAGGAGACTGGGTGGCTGGGGCATGGCAGAGGGCTCACTTTCATTTCTCTATCTTTTGCATTCCGTTGCTTTTGCAAATATTTCCCATCGAAAAGTAAATACATTCTTAAAAATTAAAATGAAAAGCAATTGTAGGGTCTGGAGTATTTTTAATTCTATAAATGGAAGTTATACGGATTTCCCTGGTAATTCCATTAAATGTTATACTAAAAGAATCCTAGAACTTCGACAGAGTAAAGCAGTGGCGCTCAGCCTTCTACTAAGGAAGCCGGGCTTGAGCCGCGGCGGTGAGTGGGCGTAAGGCTGAGGAAGGAGGCAGCTGCCCCTAAGTAAGGGAGCTGCCTGCGTGTGAAGTCCTCCTAGCAGTGCTGAGCTGAGTCCCTTCCAGACTCCCTCCGCTGCCCGCTCCCCTGAGAATCTCGGCTGTACAGCTGCGGACAGAAGCGGATTCACGTGTGCGGTGGGAGTGGGGAACCGCTTTTAAAGAAAGCAAAGAGGCCGGGCGCGATGGCTCACACCTGTAATCCCAACACCTTGGGAGTCCGAGGCAGGCGGATCACGACGTCAGGAGTTCGAAACCAGCCTGGCCAATATGGTGAAACACCATCTCTACTAAAAATACAAAAAGTAGCTGGGCGTGGTGGTGCGCCCTGTAATCCCAGCTACAGGGGAGGCTGAGACAGGAGAATTGCCCGGACCTCGTAGGCGCAGGTTGCAGTGGACCGAGATTGCGGCAGTGCACTTCAGCTTGGGGGAGAGAGCAAGACTCTGTCTTAAAAAAAAGAAAGAGAGAGGGGGAGAGAGAGAGAGAAGGGGGGGAGAGAGAGAGAGAAAGAGAAAGAAAAAAAAACCCACCAGTATAAACGAGGTAAAACAGAACACCCAAGATGCTGTAGCCAGGTGGGCCTCACAAAAGGAAGGCTGTGTCCCGGGATCCTCAGAGACCCCTGGAGGGAGGAGGAGGGAGGAGACTGTGGAGCCACCGAGTTCCTGAGCAAGCTGGAGCCGTGGAAGCAGAGCTCACCCAACCAGAATCCCAGGCTCACACAGGCAAAAGCAGTCCAGAGGCAACAGCTCCCCCAGGGATAGGAGGCAACGGTGAAATATCCCACTGGGAATACTGGCGGGGAGTTCTCTAATCACAGTGGGCTGTCACAGCTTTCACTTTTCCAACATTTTTTTCCTCTTCAAGTCCTGAATTTCCGGCCATGGATACCACGAAGAAGTCACCGGGAGCACACACCGGGAGAGCCGGCTGCAGGGTGGAAACCAGAACACTGCGGGCGCTGAGACGGGGCCAGGAGGTCATGAGGGAGTTTCACTTTTCTCCACAGTTCCTGATCTATTACTTTCACATGTAACATGTACATGCTTTTACATGTATGTACATGTATGTATGCAATAGGTCATGCTTTTATAATTGGTAAAAAAAATTTTGAATATAAGGAAGCAATTCTTCACTATACACTGTAATTACAAGATTATCCAGAATATTCTGAGACATACGTCATCTCTCCAGGAATAAATGGAGCCCCTCTCCGTGGACGAGCCGGTGGTGGAGCTCTGCGCGGCCGACCCAGACCAAGAGGTGTGGGCTCCCGTGGGTGTGCGGCTTCCGCTGGAGGAAAAGGACGATTCGCTGCAGGAATGAACACCGGCAAAAAAATCACATTTGCTGGAAGGGCTTGGACGGCTAAGTGGCTTCACTTCTCTGAGCCTGCTTCCTCTTTCACTAAATAATTATTAATTTCACAGTATACTAATTTTGAAATATTTTTACAGTGTGATGTTTACACTAGGTTAAAAATAAAACTGCATCTCACTTTTAGCAATTCATGGCCAGTCACTAATTTCCTTTCCCACATTTGTTACGGGCATTTGGTGATTCTATAATCTGAAGCAATGAACAAGGTGAATTCTTACCAGGTATATTTATCAATGGCTTTCTGCACATTTCTTGTAAAATGTGTAGGTAAAGGATCTTTGCTTCTCACAGTATAACTGTGCCTTCTAGGTCCTTCTGACAGTCCTCTTCTGGAAATAAAAGAAAACATGAAAAGTCTCCCTAATGTAATAATATAGTTTTATTCATTAAGACTTTTAAAATTTCCTTTTTGTATAAAGTTGCTCCCCTTCTTCTGCCACATCCCTCCAAACTCACCTGTGCATAAGCGTGCGCGTGCGCGCACACACACAACCCCCACACATCCTCAAGAAACTGAGACTTAGGACCTTATCGTTTTTATTTTTCTTAAAATCAAGGTTGCCATTAACCTACATGCACCTTTATGTGAACTGAAGACAACATCAACTTTTTGTGACTTAGCGAGAGAAGTAAAAGTTGCCCCAAACAGTTCGTACTATTTCAGGGATGTCAGGTCCCAGCTGTCCCTTGACCAGGCCCCTTATACTTACAAAACTCAACCAGCCCTCCAGTAAAAAATCATTAATCCCATATTAAGAAGCATCAAATTCTTTAGACTCACTTAGAAGCCACACAGACATCTAACTCGCTTTCATTTAGCATTGCTGTTTGTGGGTATACTGAGTTTTCAAGAGTTAGAAAACATTAAAATTTAATGAAGAACTAAAACAGAAGAAATATCTAGATGTTAAGTACACTATTAAGCCTAACTGGTGTAGCACAGTTCCTGTTAATCATTGAAATGTCCTTTCAATGAACCACTTAAAACATTTACTTCCTCTATAGTCAAAATATCTTCCTGATGTTTAATAATCAACAACTTCTGTTTTTCAATACAAATCTTATTTTTCTTTATAAATAAAACACATATTAACATAAAATACGGTAGTAAATTAGGAAAAACTTCAACTTTCAGTATTTCTAATAAGGACACCACGGCAGCATGCATTTTTAAAAAGTTTGCTTTTGCTTCCAATTATAAGGCTACCTAATTGACCTTAGCTCACTGCAACCTCCGCCTCCTGGGTTCAAGCAATTCTCCTGTCTCAGCCTCCTGAGTAGCTGGGATTACACACGCCTGCCACCACACCCAGCTAATTTTTGTATTTTTAGTAGAGACACGGTTTCACCATGTTAGCCAGACTGGTCTTAAAATCCTAACCTCAAGTGATCTGCCCACCTCAGCCTCCCAAAGTGCTGGGATTACAGGCGTGAGCCACCATACCCAGCCAACAAAGGGAATTTTTAAAACAAATTAATTACCATGTACAGATTAGCAAGAACATCTACCTTCCATAGATATGTCTCGTGCAAGAGAGAATAA